ACTGAGCCACACCCAGCCCCTCACTGGGGGATTCTAGGCAGGGCTCTTTGCACTGTCTTGCTAAGCTGCACAGGCTGGCCCTGAATTCACCACACAGAGCAGACTGACCTTGAAGTTTCCATTCTCCTGCCTCAGCCTCTCCAGGTGTTTAGGAGGACAGAACTGGGCAGTGGGGCCCTGTGATACTGAGTGCTACTTTATAATTGATTTGCAGGTATCTGATAGCAATGCAAATATTCTTCTCGAAACCCATAGAAATGAAATTTGCTAGTGAAGCTTCCCTCAGGACAAATGTGCTGAGCAAAGCATTGCTTTGTCAAGTACACATTAGCATTCCTTATTGCCTATGTGCTGTGGGCTTTTTCCTCTCTTTTTAAAAGTGCATACTGACCTTAAGCTCATCTTATAGCAGAGGCTGAGCCTGGACTCCTGGGCCTCCTGCCCCTGCCTCTCTAATGCTGGTTTTACAGGCGTGTGCCCCTACACAGGGACGGGTGTACCCAGACGTCATGCATGCCGGGCAAGCACTTTAGCAACTGAACTACAGTTGGGGAGGCCCTGCAACACTTAATTTTAAAAAGGAACCAAACCTTTGGTGCAGTCTGAATTCCCTTGGTTTGGACTACACCATTCCCAAATCCTGTACCCCACCATAGTCCACCTTCCTCTCTGTGAACCTTCACCCGACCAGCCTGCATCTTAATGAAGTTACCTCTTCTAGCTCCCTCTTTCCAAACTTCACTGGATCCCCATCCTTGGCTTGTTTTCAAATTCTGACCCCACCCCTGTCCTTCTTAATCCCTAATCCTGCCCCATCCACCTTTTGGGATTAACTCACGGGGCCCCACCCCGCCAAAGTTCCAGAAGCCTCCTACTCATTCCTCAAACACCATCCCTTCCTCCTTCCTCTTCCTCCACCCTATCTCGTCCCAGCTTGCCCCCCCTCCCGCCAGCCCTGTTCCTCTCCACCCGCCCTGCCATGCACTCCCTCACCTCATCAATTGCTTCTCAAAGGCAGCCTAGTTCCAGCACTTTCCCAGACTCAACCTCAGCCCCACAGGCTCAGGGCACTAGACATTCTGTTAGCCAGGCACCTATACGGTGTGTGTCTTGGGAAGAGGGTGATGAACATATGTAGTCATCACCTTGAATTTAGGAAGGAACAAGGCTGGAGGTGAGACTCCCGCTGACAGTGCTGGCGTTAATGTTAAGACTTGGCTGGGGTTGCCGCTGGTAAAGGGACTGGCCTTCAGGGACAGGCTGGGGGTGGTCCCTAGGGTAAAGGTGGGATTTCAAGAGAACTCAGAGATGCCTGTCTGGATGCTGCGGCAGACTGAAAGGTGCAGGCGTTGAGAGCGGAGGTGAGGAAAGCAGGGAGGTGCATGACAAGGGGTATGGAGGGGAGGAGTTTGGGAAGGAAAGTGGGCTTTCCCCTTTTCTGTGGTCCTGCCATAAGAAGGTTCACAGTGGGTTCAACTCGGGCTTGGGCGGGGACAGATCTGGGTCCCAGCTTGTTCCAAAAGCTCCGCCTCCAAGCCGAGGGCCGAGCCCAGGCTGGGGGGTGCCTGTCAACAGCAAGCTGAGCCATTGGGGGTGGAGAGGGGGAGCCAGCACCGGGAAATGGTGCGCGCGCTGGGGGAGGGAGCTCAGGGGTTAAAAGCCATGGGTTGGAGCTGAAGTTTCTAGACAGCTGGCTGTTGAAGTTGGCCACCTGGGCCCCTCCTCAGGTAGGGTCTCTGGGAGGGAGAGGGGCAGAGGCCTGGGGAAAGGGCAGTGCAGCGGGACAAGAGGAGAAAAGAGGAGGGAAAGGGGATACAGGGCAGCTGAGTCAGCGTGAAGAGCAGGTGGAGACAGAAACCTGCAGAGATGCAGGGAGTCTAAGCATGCAGAAAGTCTGGACGCCAGGGAGGAGACCCAGGGTCCGGGACAGGTCCAGAGAGGGGAGAATGGGGTCAGAGGAGGGAAAGGAGGGATGGGCGAGGGAATGCTGTCTGGACCCAGCTCTTAGAGTGCAGGTTAGAAAGAGGTGACCTTTTGGAAGTGATGGCAGGCGCTGGAGCTCAGAGGAGTGCACGCTGTCCCTCCACCAGCTCTCGGGGTGTCCCACACACACTGCGGATGGAATTACAGAAGGACAAGATTCGAGGGCCAGGGATTTCAGAGAGAATAGAGCCGTAAAGTTCAAGATTGCAAAGCGCAGAGAATTTCAGTCTCCGGCTTTGCAATACCCACTTCAGCCTCTCGACCCAGGCCCCGCCCACCCTGCCCACCCCAGTCCCGGAGCTATCATGTGGCCCCTAGTGGCTGCCTTCGTTTGCCTGACCGTGGGCTTGTCCGGAGGTGAGTACTCAGGCACAAGGGTGGATGGAGGCAGGGAGGTCATTCATGCCAGTGGTAGGAAGGATCAAGCCACTGGGAAGGGGGGGACTTGCGGGCTCCTCCCCCCACCCCCGCCCTCTCAGGGCCAGGGAGGACACACTGATAACTTCCTGCTAGTCCCTGTGTGACCTGATTTCCTAGCTAGGGTCAGCCCACCAACACCTCTGACTCTAGAGATGCACCAGCTCAGAGAGGCCCCAAGTCTCCCGACTCCCTTGACTCTTTGCAGCACCCCCACCCCCACCACCTCCACCACCTCCTCTCCGTCCACCTTCTCCACCACCTTCGCCGCCACCACCACCACCACCAACAACAACTTCATCTCCTCCACCTCCTCCACCACCACCACCTCCTCTCCGTCCACCTCTTCCACCACCTTCGCTGCCGCCACCACCACCTCCTCTACCTCCCCCTTCAACACCACCACACATTTTTCAAGACGGACCAAAGAGCAGGAAGCTCAGCAGACCACGGGTTCAAATGTTAACAATGCCATTTTGAGCAAAACTTGAGCCAACGATTGTTTTCTTCTGCAACATCGATTGCTAGGGATAAGAAAAGGAGGGGTGTCCCTGGTGTGATTTTTTTTTTTTAAAAAAAAAAAGGCTCTGAAAATAATGAAATTTTATTATCTTTTTAAACTCATGTCTGTACGAGGGAGGATGCTGGATACCCCGGAGTGACAGAGGTTATGAGCTGCCATGTGGGTGCTGGGACTTGAATCCAGGTCCTCTGGAAGAGAAGACAGTGCTCTTAACTTCTGGGCCATCGTCCCAGCTCCTTATTTTGTATTTTAGTGGCTTTGTATTTTCCTTTTTGAGTCAGTGTCTCTGTCTCCTGCAGACCAGGCTGGTCTCAAACTCACTGCGTAGTTGAGGATGGCCTTGAACTCCTGATCCTCCTGCCTAAACCTTCCCAGCATTAGGGATGACAAGTGTGTGCCACCAGGCTTTGTTTATGGGGTGTTAGGAATGGAACCCTGGGCTATGTGTGTACTAGGCACACACCAATTGAGCTACAAACCTAGCCCCTTTCTCTGCCTTCGCAAACACACTCTCTAGAAACCCCGTGTATGCATCATTCATTCATTCACTCAATCATTTATTCTACCAGGAACAAGAACCAGGCATTGCATGCACGCTGCCTGTGGCATCCACAGCATATCTGGGGGGACTGTGCAGACATTATTGAAACAATTATTCAAATAATTAGTTAATAATTAGCTGCCGCTGTGAGGTGAGCCACAATCAGGAGCCTGGATATGTAATGGAGGCTTCCAGAACCCCCCTTCCCCGGGCTTTGTTCTGACTTAAGGGAGGAGGGTCCACAGTACCTAGCACCCTGCACCAGCCTTCCCCTGGAGGTGGGGTGGCTGTTTGGCTTTGGTGTCACACCCAGGATTCACACCCTTGCCCCTCCTGGTGCCTCGCCCTGGGCCAGGAGCCCCACATGCTGCATCTTGTGGAACCCTCCAGATCCCAGTGAGGTATGTGCTCTGCAATTACTCCCAGGTCTCAGGGACAGAAGGATCCTGCCCCAAAGACACTGCCACACCTGAGCTAGGACACTAATCCAGGCTGTCTACCCGGTCCACCATGCCCTGCTCTGGAAGTCCATCGGACTGTCTGCATAACTTCTGACCTTCTAAAGTTCAGCTGCTTTGCTTCATTTTCCTGTTTTTTTTCTTTCTATTTACTTTATCTGTTTTATTGACTGATCGTGTGTGTGTGTGTGTGTGTGTGGTGTGTGTTTGCACCTGTGCACACATTATTGGCTGGAGATATAGCTTAGGTAGGAGTAGAGTGCTTTTCTGGCATGTTTGAGGCCTTCAGGCCAATCCTGAGAACTGCAGAAGGTTGGAGCCTTAGTGCACTGTAGTCTGCTTATATTTAACCAAACATAGGGCCCCATGAGAACTAAGGAAGTCTCTGCCGCTGACCTACATTCCCAGTCTTCTTTTTCCTTTTTTATTTTGAGATAGAGTCTACTAAGTTCCTCCGGCCAGCTTGAACTTCTGTACTCTGGGCAGTCCTTAAATTTGCAGTCTCCCGGTTAGTCTCCCGAGGATATGAGCTAACAGGCCTGCACCACCAAGCATGGCTTAATTGGCCCTTTTTGTCTTCTGTAAAAATAGTTGCTAAAGATGGTGGACCCTCCAAAATTCAGGTGCTGGAAAGGCTTTGCTCCCTCCTGGTACCAAGAGGGAAGTGATGAGAGTGAGGGTTTACGTCTTACATGGACACATCCAGGGCTAAAAGAGATCTGGACTGTAACTCAGCTTCTGAGTGTGCCATTTAAATATGCACCTTTCATTTGTGAGACAGGGTCTCCACCCAGGCTGTGTAGCCAAGGATGACCTTGAACTTATATCTTCCTGTCTCTACCTCTTAATGTCACCCTCGCCTCACTTTTTGGCCCCACCTAAAGTGACCCTGTATTCCTGCCCTTAACTCTTAACTCCCAGCATGGGCAGGTGGGGACCTGGGCTGTGGGACAAGGGGACTCCCACGGCTTCCTGATGTGTGACGACGCCCACAGCTCCCCATCTGAGGATGCAACTAACAATGCAGCAAGAATAGGAAGAAAAAAAAAACTATTTTTTTTTTCAGTACTGAGCTCATGCTGGCTTTCCCACTATAAGAAATAAGGTGTGGTCATTGTTTACACAGTGTTTGGCTTTTATTGGCTATTATAAATCATCAGGAGTGATTTAATGGGATGGAATGATGTGCAGAGGTTATATGTGAACACCATGATGCTTTATGTGAAGGGTTTGGACATTCCTGGGTTGTAATGTCTGTAGGGCCCTAGAACCAGTTCTCCACAGGTACAAAGGGCTGACTGTGTTCTTCCTACCCGAGAGGGACGGAACCTGAGGCTGGTCATCTGCAGGATTCTGCAGAGTAAGAAAGCAGTGCACTGGAATCCAGATGTGACCCGCTGACCACAGCTGTGTCTCCGTTGTTGTCACGTGTCCTAGAGCCGAGGAACAAGACGATTAAACAGAGTGATTCAGATGTCAGCTGTCTGTGGAGCTGTCTGTAAGGGTGAAGGGAGAGAGAGGAAAAAGAAGATAGGAGAACAGAGAGAAAGGGAAGGGGGGAGAGAGAGACAGAGATAGAGACAGAGAGATTGAGAGACAGAGAAAGGGGAAGAAAAAGAGTAAGAGAAGAAAGAGGAGAGTGTGTGTGTGTGTGTGTGTGTGTGTGTGTGTGTGTGTGTGTGAATAGACAAGACAGAGAGGGAATTACCAACAAGCCTGAAGAGATGGACAGTTATAGCTTTGATGAGCATCCTTAGAGAAACATGACATGCCTGAGGTCCAGGAGGGGAATCCTTAGACCGGAGGCCCCAGAAGGCTCTACTCAAGAACTAATATACAGGCTTAGCTATCACGGGGAAGTTGGACCCTGTCATGTGCCTCTGGGTGCTCCACCAACCAGCTCAAATGTACTCTGTCTGAACCACATACTTATGCCTGATCATGTGGATAAATAAGTAACTGAGATGTGTCTGGCATCCCCAAGGAACTGAGATTTGGATTTTATTTTAATTGACTTCAAGACCTGCATGTGGCTGTGATGGACATAATGAAACATATGGGTCTATGATTGGCGTAAGGAAGAAGTACGCAGAAGGAGGAAACAGCAGGCAGAGAGAGGCTCCTGTGTGTTGGGAGAACAAGTGTATGCGGCCAGAGCAGAGTGTCCCAAGGAGAGAGAGGTGGGGATTCCAAGTGACACAGTGTGTGTGTGTGTGTGTGTGTGTGTGTGTGTGTGTGTGTGTGTGTAGGCCAGAGGTCAACATCATTCTCTACCTTATTTTCTGAGACAATCTCTCCAACTGAATCTAGAGCTCTCCAGTTCAGCTGGACCAGCTACCTGTAAACTCCAGAGATCCTCCTGTCTTTGCTCCTCCAGTTCTGAGATTACAGACAACCTGCTGTTCCCCCCAAGATGGTGGCAGGGCCCTGATAAAAGCTGGATATCAGGGAGCTGGAGAGATGGCTGTTCTTGCAGAGGATCGGGTTTGTTTCCCAGAACCCACATGGTAACTCACAACCATTTGTAACTGTTTCCAGGGAATCTGACACCCTCTTCTAACACCTTGAGCACCAGGCACATGGTGCACATACCTGCAAGCAGGCAAAGCATTCACACACACAAAATAAACAAATATTAAACATTTTAAGCTGGATATTTAGGAGATAAACAGGACTGTTGTGGATAGTGAAGGGATTAAGGGAAGCAAGGGTTGATGCCCAGGTTTGGGCTGAGCATCAAGATGAGAAGGACTGGAAGGAACAGTTTGGGGTGAGAAAGATCAGTTTCCAGACACAAACTTGAAGATGTGTATTAGGTGTTTGGGTTGATAGCATTTGAGCTTCCAGCTTCAAAGGTTGGGGTTGGTGATGAGAATTTTGGTATGACCACTTGTAGGTGGCCTATAGAACTGGAAAAGCACCCAGTAAATGTGTTAAAAGGATGGATGATGGATGGATGGATGGATGGATGGATGGATGGATGGGTAAGGTATGGATTGATGGATGGATAGGTGGATGGATGGACTGGTGGTTGGGAGGATGAATAGATGGGCAGGTTGGTGGTTGAATGGATGGATAGAGGAGTAGGGTAGATGGATGGATAGATGGGAGGATTGATAGATGATGGATGGACAGATGGATAAATGAATAGATGGGTGTGTAGGTAGGTAGATGTGTGAATGGATGGAAGGGTAGATGAGCAGAAGATAGATAGATTAATGGATTGATGGATGGTTGAATATGTAATGCAGGGGTAGATAGACGGACATATGATTGGATGAGTGGATGGACATGTTGACGGATATGTAGATGGTTGGGTGGGTAGATTAGTGAATATATGGGAAGCTAGATATATGGATGGTTAGGTGAATTGATTGATGGATGGGTCAATAGCTGGAAGGACGGGTGAGTGGATGGATGGGTAGGTGGATAGGTAGATGGATTGATGGGTGAATGAACTAATGAATTAGTGGATAGATGATGCCTAGGGAGATACGTAAGTCAATTCTTTCACCTTAAGAAAATGTAGATGGAGAGAAAGTGGACCTCTACTTACTTCTTGGTCACCTTCTTGTTCCATAAGCTGTCTTCTCCGTGCCATTAGACAGTGCAGCACTTCTATAGTACAGGCGAAACGTCTGCCTCACTCATCCCCACTGGATGGAATAAGGCAACTTAGAGGATAGCAAGTGAATCCTCAGTTCTCAATGACCCAAACCAATAATCTGACCCTTTCCCCAAGTCCAGAACCACAGCACTGGCCCTTTCTACTTCCTTAGCCCTATTCTCTAAGTTTCTTTCTTTGACAGGAATCTCCCGGGACTACCCCAAGATTCTCAATGGTACCAATGGAACCAACGGTTTTCTCCCGGGTGGCTACACCTGCCTCCCCCACTCTCAGCCGTGGCAGGCAGCTCTCCTGGTCCGTGGACGGCTTCTCTGTGGAGGTGTTCTTGTTCACCCCAAATGGGTACTCACAGCAGCTCACTGCAGGAAAGAGTATGTGGGGCCTGGAGTGCAGAATGGGAAGAGGCTGGGACTGGGGTGGGGACAGAGGTGGGCTCATCTGTCTCTTTCCCACCACTTCCTGCACCCACAGAGGGTACACAGTTCACCTAGGCAAGCATGCCCTGGGGCGTGTGGAGAATGGCGAGCAGGCAATGGAGGTGGTCCGCTCTATCCCCCATCCTGACTACCAGGTCAGCCCCACCCACTTGAACCACGACCATGATATCATGCTTCTGGAGTTAAAGTCCCCAGTCCAACTCAGCAGTCACATCCGTGCTCTGCCACTCTCCCCGGATGACTGCCTGCCCACTGGCACCTGCTGCCGCGTTTCCGGCTGGGGCACCACCACCAGCCCCCAGGGTAAGTGCCTGCATGGCTGCTGGAGTTCTCGCAGATGGCGGGGGAAACTGGGGCAGCCATAAGCAGGGGAAGTCGGAGGATTCCTTTTATTATATTTGTATTGCTTTGGGGTGTGTGCTGGAGGGAAGGCGCTTAGACCAAAGCCGTCAAAGGGAGATCAGAGAACAAATTGTGGGATTCCTGTCCTTCCTTCCCACCATTTGGGCTGTGGGATCAAATTCAGGTTCTCAGGTTTGACTGCAAGCACTTTTACCCAATGAGCCTTTCCAGTCCCTTTATAAAAATAAGTCTATATAAATGAAGGCATGTATCTCCTTAATATTAATATTACAAATGTAAGATAATCACAAATATATATATATTGTGTGTGTGTGTGTGTGTGTGTGTGTGTGTGTGTGTGTGTGTGTGTGTTTGGTTTTTAAGACAAAGTCTTACTATGTAGCCCTGACAGTCCTAGAACTCAAAGAGATCCACCTGGCTCTGCCTCCCAAGTTCTGGGATAACATATGCATTTTATATATGTATACACACACACACACACACACACACACACACACACACACACACACTTTATTTTATTTTTAATTCAGTGAGTTCGTCTGTGTGGGTTTGTGCATATGAGTGCAGTGCCCACAAAGGCCAGAAGAGGGTACAGGGTTCCCCTAGAGCTGGAGCTCAAGCAATTGCCTGACATGGGAGCTGAGAATCAAACTCTGGTCCCCTGGAAGAGCAGCAAGTGCTCTTAATCTCAGAGCCATCTCTCCAGACTCAGAATAATAATTATATAAAAGCTGGGCCTGGTGACACCGACCTATAATACCAGTCATCTAGGGACCTGTGTCAGGAGGATCACAAGTTCAGGGTCAGCCTAAGCTACAGAGAAGTCGGCCTGGGCTACACAGAGAATTCTGCCTCAAAAAATTCTTTTTAAAAAAGTAAAATAGGGCTGACCAGAGGACTCAGTGAATAAGGGTGCTTGCCACCACCCGAATTCAACCCCCCGCATGGTAGAAGGAGAGGACTGACTCCCCAAAGTTGTCCCCTGACTCCTCACGCCTATTTTAGCATACTACACAGGCACACAACATATTTTTTTAATTTAAATTAAATTAAAAGGGCTGGGGTATGGCGTAGAGAGTGCATCTTGCATCAGTCCCAAGCACTGAAAATTAAAGGTTATGTGATAATGTTTGCTATGTAATATCTCATACTTTATTATATACATTAAGAAATAAATATTTATAATCTACATATTTTAAATTTTATAATACATTAGTTAAGTATATCTTATGGAGATGGATGAACTATAAAAAGTGTATCTTTAGGTATGTTTTATACATGTGACTAGCATACAGCATAACATGTCAGCAGACGTCTCCACGGCAATCCCTGGCTTGCTCCCATCTCTTTTCTGCCTCTCTCTCCCCCTCACATTCCCCTCCCCCAGCACCTGGTCTCTCACTTCCCACCACTCCTTGCTTCCTACCCACCTTGAGTTCTTTTTCCACTTTTCCATTTTCACACACATGTGGTGTGCATGTATGCGCATTTGCTTGTGTTGGGGCACACGTGTGTGTGAGTGCATGTGGAGTCTCGAGACTGATGTTGGGAACCATCCTTGATTATTCTTCCACCTTATTCACTGAGGCAGGGTCTCTCCATCATACCCCAAGCCTACCGTCATGACTGGCCTTGCTAACCAGTTTGCTTTGGGGGAATCCCCTGACTCTTCTAAGGCTGAAATTACAGGCAGGCCACCATGCCCACTCCCAACATTTACATAAGTTCTAAGGATCTAAACTCATGTTTGCATGGAAAGTACTAGGGTACCTCCCCACTGCCATACCTTCAGGCCTCTTATCTCTCCCCATCCCTGTTGCCCTGCCCAGCCGTCCCTTCCTCCCCTCCTTTTATCCTCATTTGTTTCCCATGTCTGTCCATATTTTTGTCTCTTTACTACTTTCTGCCTCATCCTTCCCTCCATCTTACTTATCCCTTCTCAATTTCCTGCCCACTCTGACTCTTTAACATCCAGGACAAGCCTCCTCAGATGGTCTCTCTCCTCCCCAGTGAATTACCCTAAAACCCTGCAGTGTGCCAACATTGAACTGCGCTCAGACGAGGAGTGCCGACAGGTGTATCCAGGAAAGATCACTGCTAACATGCTTTGTGCTGGTACCAAAGAAGGCGGGAAGGACTCTTGTGAGGTGAGATACGGAGAGTGATGGAAGCGTGCAGTCCAGCCTTCCAATTCTCCGTCCCTCTGATCTCCATCTCCCTGACTCTGTACCTCTCTTGTTCTCCATCTCCCTGACTCTCCATCTCCCTGACTCTCCATCTCCCTGACTCTCCATCCC